GAGATTGTGCGCGATCTCAACGAGCATTTCAGAAGGACTCTGACCAACCTGCAGATAGACGACCAGGTGTCTGAGGCGATCGATTTGAAGGGGACGAGTTCACCGGTGGTGGCCTTCGAGGATGAAGCGGTGGTGCCGTAGAAGGTGTGGTTGACACAGCAGCCGGCAGCACCGTTGTGGTCGTGGCGGATCTTTGCGCTTTACGTGGAACTAACGGAGGTGGTTGTAACTGGCCTGAAAATTAATATTTTTTTTAAATCCTCACACATTCGAAGGATAAGCCATCATAACGAAGAGCAACTGTAATTATTCACGTAAAAGATCCTGTAGACTCTACGTAAGAAAGAGAAGTTCGACTTTGCGCAACGTTCAAAGGAGCTCACCTATTTTGTGCGTTCGTCTTGGCACATCTCCAATGAATTTCGGATGCTGACCAGGAGTGATATCGACCAAAGAGAAATGCGCGTCGTCAGCGTCAGGAGGCGTCGAGACTGGGGGTCGCGGCCTGAAAAAACTAATTCAATCCATTGAAAACACAGTACTTGACCCATTCAATCAAGTACTCTTATAATAAGTAGTTCAACTAGTCCACAATTCAGTTTTCGTGACCAAAAATTAATTTAGGGGATAGCCAATTAAATGACTGAATTAGGATTCACTGAAGCACGAAGGAGCACGGGCCTAAGCATCTCGCGATAGCGCCCTTGGTACCTAATTATAATACCAACGGCGCTATCGCAAGATGTAGGGGCATTGTAGTGGAATGCTCTGCACAAAGCGCGTGAAATATCCTTTTGTAAGCGAAACTAACCATAAGCCTGAGTGGGGAGAAGAGGTTCGGGGTGCAGGAGCAGTTTTCATTTTCCCCGAAATTCCTGCCATTCTACTCTCAGTCTTAGAGGATGCCACCGTAACCTCGCGATAGCGCCGTTACCAACAATAGCAGCTCCATGTTTACAGCATTCCCGGGATATGACGTTAGGGGCGAAATCCTAATAATATCAGCAGTGACATTTCCATAAGCGCGCATATTTCCCCACAATGGCGCCTCATCAAACCTGGATGACCAAATATCCACTCTTTTTCTGTCCCGACGTCGCCCTAGTAGTTTACCCCTGCTGAGCGATTCTTGTAGGTTGAAATAGTATTTGGACGGGTAGTTTCGTAAATGGCTTTCCTCTTTCCAGGCTCTGAAGAAGGCGAAAGCGCCGAAACGTAAGCCAAATAAAAGTTGTTATCAATCTTGGTTGGAGCTTATTCACTATACTGACATATCTTTACTGACTCATTTTCGGATCAGCCATCGGTCACATCTCAAGTTCTATTCTATATCGATGAGAGTTTTGCCGGAATTTGACCTAAAGCAGTTGTTGGCGAAACTCGACGAACGCTGAAGCGCGTGCTCAGCGAACCAACTCACCAGCCACTCACAACACCCTCGGCCTTTCAGTGGGTGCGGTGAGGTTCAACATCAAAGCAGACAATAATCACTATCACAGACAGCAAGCTGGTTGGATTGAGGCTTTCAAGTAAAGGGTGAAAGAAGCATTAATGTTGCCCACTCGATGTCACAAGGCCAGAAGACCCAGTCAAAATGGAAGGAAACCGATCGTTAGACTATGCAGTTGGAAACAGCGCTTCTTGCTTCTGCGCCAACGGCTAACGACGAGACTTTATTCGGTACGTTCGGCACGTGTGAGTGGGATTGTATGTACCTATTGTGCCTACTGACTCACGCGAATCGCGTTTCGTGATGCTGTAACAATAACACGATTACGGGTACCACTTCTGTCATTTCTGGCTCCGGAAATCCGGTACACTAAGTACGCTATCACTACAGCGACACATGTTTGTGGTTGATATCAAAGTGCAGCTCACTGTCAGATTCCCGGCCAGGATATTCTCCATTTTCGAGGACGAGATCAAACACCAACAGGAGAATTTCACATGGAATATTCTGGAAGACGTTGCAGAGTTCAGTTCTACTCCTACTACTTGCGCTTGTGCTTCTTTGCTCTTGACGAGCTGAGCATGGAGCAGGAAGTCAACAGCCGGAAAATTCGCCTACGACATGACACCACTATTACACTGGTCCAGTTTTCTAAGTAAACATTACAATAGTTATGCGGTTTGTCGACAAAGTTCTAAGAAGTCGTTCGTTGAGTGAACCAACGAAGATTAATTGGGTGATGCTTTTTCCCGTCATATGAAATAAGTAGCGTGTCCATTCCTGATTCCAGTCAATCCAAACCTTCTTTAGATGATGGATATTAGTGACTGTGTAGTAGCATCAAAGTATTTCATATAATTCAATATGCGGGGCATTGCGATGGCGATGCATTCAAAAGCGCGAACACTTGTCTTTTTCGGTAAAAAGGGATTAAGCCTTCGGCGGAGGAGGATTCCAAGGTGCATGAGCCATTTGCATTTCCCCCGATCTCCTGCCCCTTCCTTGGCTTAATTATGAAAGACGCCCCCGTATATTGTGATAGCGCCTAATTCAGAATGCATCCTAAAAAAAAGCCTTCCTACGGCGTCTACGGTACAGTTCAACCTTTAGTTACTTACTTTTAGTCACTACGGCCTTAACATTTCTCATAACTTGCCAGCGTGCTAGACCAATTGCGTGCTAGCGGGCCCGGATAACACCTTTTGTCGGGTTTTTAGGGCCGCATTGATGCTGAGAGTTGCGCCAAGTGAATCTCTTACCCTTAGTAACTTTACATGGGTGAGGCGCGAGGCGCGATATGCACTTGCTCAAAACAGCAAGGATTCTGCGGACCGATTTTCACCCTCCTTACTTCTAGAAACCAGCAAAATAGCCCTCAGACGCCTCAACGGTTTTGAGCGGAGGTCAAACTACTGGTTTAGTCCATAGGATTGATCCCCCAATTTCGTAGCGCCCTATTCTTTAAAGCACGCCATCAGCCTGAGCAATATGTACGGCGCCATGGTCAGACGTTGTGACGCATCTGAATAACACTACATGAGGATTACCTAGTGCTAATGAAAAGCAAGACAGATAAACATCAAGGTGTTTTTGGCGATCAAGGACCAAAAATCCATAGAGATAATGCCGTAATTTAGCCTAACATTCGGACCAAAGCTTTCTGAACTTCAAAAATGGGCGCTTTATACAAAAATAGTAGTTCTCCGACTGGCACATCCGAGCTCGATTTCAAACTCTCGATCTCAACCCTTCTTTTCGAGCTAGTGCTTTTGACCATGAATCTGGAAGATCTTGAGCTTTCTCTTTTGCATGCCTCAATCTCCCTTCGACTGCACAATGTAACAGACACCTGACAGAGCTGCTTTACTTCCGTCTCCTTCCGCGATCACTTGCTCAGCTGATCATGCTCCTCTCGAGCCGCCCTCAAAACACTAATGTCCACGATCACGGACATCACAACTGGTCATGATGGCATGGCATTTCATCGAAGGACCAAAGGTATGAATAAAGCCGGATGGAAATCGTTCACATGTATGTCCCTGCCGTGTGTGTTTGTGTGGTGTATGTGTAAAGGAGAGAAAAACCAACGAAAGGATACGCCATGACAGAGTGCACGGCGGAGACGAACGCGACGGCCGGCCGCGTCGTTCGTCGTTGCCGTCGTCGTGCATGATAATGAATATGCGTCTTTGGAGGAACTGGTTATTGAGAACGAGTAACTTCACTATCACCCCAACAACGACGCACCGGAAGCCGACAACCGAACGCTGAACGAGCCCACGCAGTGTACGGACAAACGCGCGACGGGAAATAGACGAGCGCTACATCCGTCGTAATTAATCAACCTTCATCCAGGATGAGTTTTCTTGCAGTCATGCTGCATCGAAAATCCGCTTTTCTCAGACTGAATCAATGGGATAGGTGGAAATATCAGATATTATGAAAGTAAACCGATACGTGAAGCCCATAAGTTAGGCTCAACAGAGCTTCAAAAAATGGCTAAGAAATAATGGCCCAACGACCCTTCTAGCCACGAGTTAATTTTAATAAAATGAACTTCCTCCTATTGCGCTTACTTTTTCCTACAAAAATAAAACGGCGGGTGCAGAGCTAAGTTTTGAGGAAAAAGAGGTCTTAAGCAACCTAAATCAAAGGACGGTAGAAAGAAGTTGATTTGCCGGTCCAGAGCTCTGAATTTGGTGGGACAATCGCCACCGCAAGGTCGGAAGCGGTCAAAATAAAACCCCTCGAAGCCTGTAGGCTTGACGAAGCCCTCATCATCAACACCGTGAATACCTCCATATCTTTGTTTTCAACAGGATTCAATATGAAAATTCAAGCTGTCACTCACCCCTCTCCATCAGCTTTTGGCGTACTCGGTGCTGTTGACGATTGAGTGCTGTAGCTAGTGGCAGCATGGTGATGGCTGGTCGAATAATGATTCGTCTTTGGTGGTTTGATTCCTGGCGATTTCAGCACGTGTAGAGCTCGTTTTGGTTTCTGAATTTTCAGAATTAATTTTCAAAATTAGGGTTTTTGATGAAAATTCAGCGCTGTAGACACCACTTACCACATCTGGCACTTTATCGCCTTCCTTTGGCTGCACTTTCAGTGATTTCTCGTACAGGTACGTCTCCAGTGCATCACCGTCATTGTTGAAGTCGCTCTTTGGGTTGATTGACTCGAAGAATTCCTGAAATAATAATTTTTAAGGAGGAGGCGTCACATAGAGACTTTTAGAATAAAACTTTGTTAGGGTACACATCGCCCTACTTTTGCCCATCCCAGCTACACAGCCGTTGATAAAGATAAGAGGGTTTGAAATAATGTGGGACCAGTAAAATCCCATTGTCCAAACTATTCACATTTATGACTCGCATGAAAAATAAACGGCTGAGCACTTTGAAAGGCTAAACCTATAGCAAATACTGGCCCCACTAGGGTTGATTATGTACCTTGAAACACTTCATATCAAGGCCACGAACGTGCGCTACGGTTGGGACGAGGGCGACGACACTGTACGTTCACATCCCGACCGAACCCGACGGAAGAACTCGTGATATTGATTCAGTCTTTTTTAAAGGAAATCATTCAGATTTGATGATTGTTACTTCAGTACATTGTACACCACCGCAACCGGTGCTGGCTGGCTGGCCGACCGGCCTTCATCGATAACAACTCGCTCGAACAACCGCGGCATTTCATGAAGAATTCCGTTCATAATAGATATTTCTATTTAAAAAAACATATCTTCAGACCTCGGTTTCATTTATTTATTCATAGAATTATTTATTATTATATTTTAGCCATATCTGTTAGCTCACAATTGAGAGATCCAGTACAACCCAAGACGGGTTAACCGTAACCCAATCCCAAAGAAATCCACACAAAAATTTGCTCCAACTGAGGATATCAATTCAAACCTGCTCCAAACTTCAACTGCTGATCTAGTGAATCTTAAATTCACCTACATATTAGATATATTATATTGAATATACTATATTAACTATTTTTTTCACATGTTCCTCCTGGGCATGTAATAAATATGAAATATTAAGTGTTAAATTAACAAGTAAAAGGAAATAGTTTATACTTTAAGGTCCGATGGAGTGATTGGTGGCGACTGAGGACAGCAGCAACACAGATGTGCGGACAACATTGTCTCATACCACTGAGTTCACGTGCTGTTCCTGTAGATCACTGACTTTCTACCGTATACCAAAAGAAAATTGCGAATTCAATCGAGCGAGGGTAAAAATAGGAAAAGGAAAGGAAACCAAAAAAGAAGGAAAAGCATAGCAATGAAATCGAGTGGCTCAGATGTTGAGAGGTTCAGCGGAAAATATCAGCTGTCAAATCGTGCCTCGGGGGGTGTGATCGGCCTTATCTTTGGCTTTTCAGCCTCTGAAAGACAGCCGTAAGAGTTGCCAAATAAAGATGATTATATCTTGGTTTGGCGGTCAACGAACCCACGATAGTTATGGAAATCAAATTACCGTCACCCATTCCAATATTCGGACCTTACGTGCAACAAAGCGCCAAACGTGCAACGTCTGCAAAAAAGTGGGCGTGGCTAGAAACAGGTGGGCGTGGTCAGCGTGTGAGTGAGTATGCGTACGTGGGTATGCGTGTGTGTAAACTTGCCCAAACGATGTTGGTGTGCTGTGGTGATGCCATTCGTCGTTGGTTGAGCCAGCAGCAATTCGACAAATGTCATACGAACGGAAAGAGTGAGTGAGCGAGGTTTCTCACGATGATATTAGTCATCCATTGCAGCGCAAAAGTTTTGCAGGATGTCACCGAGAAATCGGAGGGATATCGGCAAATCTAAGCCAGAGGACATGGTTGCTGCTACCATATGCCTTGTCAGACATGACGTGATCAAAGGCTATCACGAGCTCGGCAAAATAAAGCTGCAAAATAACGCCAGCAGACATTTCTGACTCATATTGGTTGGTCTTTACTCACTGCAGGTGTCAGTTAGTCGTAAACACTTCCGTGAACATGGCTGATTAGGTGCACTTTCAATCTTGCTCACGGAAATATTTACGGCAGACCTGAAAATCCGCTCAGTGATGAAGACGATCTTCACATTGGAGGCTTACAGAAGATTTATTCCTTTGTAAAGCGTTTACGACAGTCTACGGAAATAGCCTACTCAGACTCAACAAGTTGCTTGCTTACTCGGACAAGTTAAACTGACAAATCACCCATAAAATCGAAACCATAAACAAAAACAGCTCAGCGAATATTTCCAGGGGTGAAGACCCTAATTTGGGCGCTTTGCCCTATAGGAATCACTTAGTGGACCAATTTTGAGCTACAAAACCGCTCAAGATATCATGCGCTGACTTTGTTATGTTTGCACTTGCACACAAATGGAATTAGCTCAGCGAATGTTTTTCAGGGGTGAGGTCTCCCTTGTTGGGTACGCTGTACCCTAGAAAATCACTCGGTGGGTCAAATATTGGGCTATAAGACTGCGCCCATGTAAGTGTCATGCAACCCATCTAGTTACCGTACAACAAAATTAGGTAAAAATAGTTTCAGCGATTATTTTTCACGGGTAAAAAACTCCCCAATTGGGGATGGTGCACCCCGCACAGCCCGTAGGATCACAGTAACCGACCGTGTGGGCGATGTGACAGGCGACACTCCGTTAATCATATCTTATCGAGAGCGACATTTCGTCGAACAGCAACGCCTCCCCAGGACACGGGATCAACGATGATGATGGTGGTACGAAATCGTACCGTTGCTGTCTCTGCGGTCAAAGGAGCGTATGGGGGAGCGCGGAAGAAGAAAAAACTCCGGCCGGCTTAAGGTCTCACATGATCGCCGGCGATCGTCACCGTCTATTTCCCACCTCTCTATCAAAACCACCACCTGCACCACGAAACCACATCAACAACCAGCACCCCGTTCGATCAACGCGGGAGGCGTGACCGGAAACACGTGCTCAATTGAGCGATTGGACCTTACGACTGAAGAACTGTGAAGATAGCGGGTCACCGATGAAAACATAGACATTTTCTTGAAATTATTGACGCCCGACATCAGACGAACAGCTGACCGTCAGCAATGCACCTGACTGTGTGAGTTCACGGAAGTGCAGCAATAATCATGCGGAAATGACTGGGAAATCAGACAAAAAATCAGCAAAACTCTGTCTCTAGGAATACTGTCAAAGATGAGCAGATATGGAGGAGTAAGTGAGAAAAATCGTCACAGGTACGGATAAGAAGGGGGGGGGTAGAGTCAGTGCTGACGAACGGTGCAACAAAGACCGGACGTGGAGGGACGTCTACGATTCAGCAAGCGGAAGTGAGGGGGCGTGACCAAGTTGGTGAACGCGTTTTTGCTAAAACCCACGTTCACGCACACCCTAATGTAACGTGTTTTTCCCGTCTGAACACGTTCAACTTGTTAGAAGATGCTGCACACAACACGACACATGCGCTTTTGCTGTCCGCCATCGCACTTCCGGTGATCTATGGAGGTCGGGTTACGGTAACCACGATCCGGCGTTGTTCCGTCCGTGATTGCACACAACGCCCTAGCACCACGTCATTTTTCTTTGTTCATATAAAATTGTAGCGAATATCGGTTCGGAAGAGTAGGAATCAACAGTTCTAAGGTATCAGTTTCAAGAGAACTTCGAATTTTGATCTGTTTACTATCGTAAACATCTAACTGTCAATTTATCAGGCACGGGTATAGGGTTAAAACGAGGGTTGAACAAGGGTCTCAGCATGGTTGGATCCCCGTCTGCGATTTTTGCAGTACATGCTTCCATTAATAAACCAACTCTGATTGGTAGAACCTTCCCGACATCCCTACCCAGAAACGAAACACGAAAAAAAGAGAGGAGAGGATCCGAAAAGGAGCTTCAGAGGGCATTCACAAAAATATGACAAAAACAAAACTTCTAGGACGGAGAAAATTTAA